CCAAAAAACTGGTCCGAACTGGTCAAAAAATTTATTTTGACATTTTGGACTAGTTCGGACCAGTTTTTTGGACCAGTTTTAGTGCCAAAGTTCTTATATTTTCTCACTTATCCCGTGTACCAATTTTCATCAAAATCGGACCACTTTGATTTATCGTGATTTTTGACCTTTTTGCCCCATAACTCCGTAAACTTCCAAGTGCACCCCCAGATTTTTTTTCGAAATAGTTCTTTTTTTGGGGCAAGCTATCACTTGGTAAAGTGGAACCACCCTTTCCTGGCAAAAATCCTGGCTACGGCGCTGCTTCCAGCTATAGTGGAATTTGATTGCTTTGCACATTAATGGTCCAAAAACCAATTGTATCCTAAATTGAAGCGGAATTTGATTGTGTGCAGATCGAAACAGCCTTTATGCCTTTTCATTTTTGAGTGCACCCGAAACCGAAAAAGGGAAAAAACACACCATCAAACATTGCTTTTCCGTCTTGTGACGACAAAACTCGCGCGCACTCTTTGCATAATTTACATAGGAAACCCTCAACCGAAACATTGCATCGCGACCAAGGGGAAAGCTTCCAATGAACATTTGAAACGTATTAAGAGTTGTACTCTAAACTCAATGGACATAAAATGAAACAAATAAAAAGCGCGTTGCTAAAGTGTTTCGCTGTCATTTTCTATGGATATTCTTCGAATAGTTTCGTATTTCGTACTTCTCGTGTGACTTTTTCCTTTGACACGACAGCTTTCATTGAAAGCCTTTCAAATGAACTGAATGTGAGAACGTTTCAAGTGAGCAATCGCCACATCTTTTTTGTTGTTGTAAATATAATTGGACGTCAAACGCAATGATTTTTCAAAAAAATCAAAATGATATTTTTTATGGAAAAATTCCTCCGCCACAGGCCAATTTATTAGCCATTCAATAGAACCAATGTTTTAAATAATTTCTACAGAGCCACCACCGTAGTTAACAACGTCGATTATTTTGCTAAATTCAGTATTCACGTATAATTTCGTAACAAAATAGAACAAAAAACTAATGAAAAAAGTAAGTGAAGATGGTTGTTCTTCCCCTTGATATTGCTTTTTCTCGCTTCCATGAACCGAACTATTTCGATGTTACTTTTATTGCTACTGAAAATCAGTTGTCCAACGGTTTTACTTGGAACATGAAATATTGCCTCTGGTATTATGGTTTTTTCTTCTTGTCCGTCTTCACAAGCCACAGTGGAATTGGAATAAGGTTTCGGAAGTCGGTGGAAATGGAAATATTGAACATTTCATTCGTAATAATTGGAAAATTATTGGATATTTCACATTTTAGTCATACTCATGTCCATTCAGTTGATGTCACCAGCAAACAAACTCATTTTCTGGTTTTCCAATTAAATTTCATTTTCACTATACTTCATAAAAATCCACAAAGGTTCAGCTTAAAAATCACATCCACTCTTTTCTTCTATTAAATACTGTTTGATTATTCAGTCTCCATCCATAAAATGACAAAAAAAAATTGATTGAAGCGCAACAAAGGAACAGAAACGGCATAAGCATTGATTTCAATTAGAAAAGTGTATTTTGATGGAACAAAAAAAGTGGATTGAAAAAAAAAAATGGATTGGTGTCAAATGACTATTGAAATTTGATGCAAAAACAAACGAATAATTGGATCACGTGACACATTTTCGAGTTCAGAGCGAAAAATTCACAATTCCCTCCCAGGGAAAAAGGGAGGTAACCAAATCTCGGAATGAAATTAATCAACCGACGAAATAATCTCCCGAAATATTAAATCATATTTTGTTTTCGCACAATTTAAATTCGTTTGATGTTTTAAAAAAATGTACTCGCTATCGGATAGCATTTAATTTGGGTCAAGGGGGAAACTACTACTACCGCATAATTCATATTAATACAATCTAGTACAACACCAATTCTGATAAATTCCAACCAATTCTGCGCAATTCAAAACAATTCCAATCAATATCCGATGTTTCTAAGTCAAATTTGATGATGATCAACTTCAAAAATTGCAAATATAGGGTTATTTAGCATCTCAAAGGAATGCTTAAGCGCATAGATGTTCAATCTTATCGAAATAACTTCAGATAGGGCGTTTTTAATTGTACATAAATCTCACTTCCAGTTCAATATTTCACTTCAAATTAGGTAAAGGCTTCATGATACATAAAATATTTTCAAAATAGAAAACAGAGCTAGAATTGAGTCTTGTAGATCAAACCAAGTCAAATATGTTCTCGAAGTAAAAACCTTCAATATGCATTCAAATGAATGGTAAATGTCCCTATATTTGCGATATTTTAAGTTGATCCTCACCAAATTTGACTAAGGAACATCGGAATTGATCAGAATTGCGCAGAATTTTTTTAGAATTTTTCAGAATTTGTGTTGTACTAGATTTTATTAATATGAATTACGCGGTAGTAGTAGTTTCCCCCTTGATTTGAGTTGTTATTTGTTTGGAAATGTGAGTTCAGTTCAAAAATCAATAATAATTCGCGAATGTCGCTGCCATTATTCATGATTATTTATCGTGGTGCAATAAAGTCGAATAATGTCACTTAAGTCAGCTAAACGTCAATTGAAGTGTTATTTATATGCTGTTGATCGAATTAATGAAGAGGAGAGTTACGGGTTTTCTTCTACATTTTTTTTCATTTTGTTCCATTTTAAATACGCAAATGTCACCATTTGTTGTTGCTCTTTTTTGTTTGTACTTTGTCGAATCGAGCCGAGATTGACTGTCGTTTTGAACGAAACAGGAAAAAAAGATGTGCCTCGCTATCTCGCTATCGATAGCTTTTGATTTGTTAGGTTGTGTATAAAAATGTGTTGCCGTCGTCGATTGTCAACGGAGTTTTTCAAATTTCTATTTAAAAAAAAAACCTAATCAATGTGAGAATCGAATTTTGCATGAACTTTGATACAAAACTAAAAAAACAAAAACCATCACTCAATTCACATTTTTTGAGCCACATGTAGCAATGGCAACAGTTCAGTGTGCTATTTCGACAATGTTTTCGCTAAATTCACATTTTCACAAAGTTCTTCTCTTTCACATGTCCACAGTTCTTGTTTAGTTGTTGAGCTTATATTTATTGTATCTGCACTGTCTGCTCGAGTTGATTCATTTTTCTCCATGAATTTTTGTTTTGTTTTTTTTTTCACCTTAAAAAAGAGTTGACCAACGAGAGATGTTGTGATGTTCATATTTTTTTTCTTCTGTTTTGGGGTCAATTGATTGTCCTGCACGGAGAGCAAAAATGAAACAAATTTTGTGCGTTGTTTTTTCATGTGTCTGAGTAAATGCACTGAACTCCGATCATAAATTTACAGAATGTTAGATTAATGTGTGCCGTTGAGTCCGAGCAGCAGTTAAATTTCATTTCAGTTTCATCGTGTCATACAGTTTTAAATTCTAAACTCCCATTAAACCAACTGTGCCAAAAGGAAAGAATGACCGAAGGTGACATGACTCGAAATTGGTCGCACTTTGATTTGTGTTCTTTTGTGGCCCTGTGATTGGTATACATACAAATTTTGTTTTTCTGTCGCATCAAAGACATAGAACGCATTTTAATTATCCGGTTGCCCGTTGTGCGCTTGATTCAAATATGCGTTTTTATTCTTTGCACAATTGATGTCATGTACAAATTGTTCACAGAGGTGCGGTTCCGATGTCGAAAAGCTCGATAAATGCGTTGTCATCGTTGACGGCGTCGTTGCCGCTGTGGCCATTGTTGCCGTCACCGTCGTTATCTTTGTATCGTTTTCAAATCGCACGGGATGATGATTGAAGTGCGTTTGTTTGGTTGATGTGTTTGTTGTTTGCATCGATGGATGTCGATAATTTAATTCAATACCGCTCGATTTTAAACAATGCAATTGATGCTAAGCAATGCGTACAAACACAGAGAAAAAAAAAACGGAGAATGTACAATATTAAATAAATATCTATGCGAATGGGGGGGAAGGGTATCGATGACAAATAGCAAAGTTACTGTGTAGATAATAGGCTAAAACAACTCACCTGCTGCCCATTTGCAGCGATTTGCTTTTGTGCCGATTGCATCGTCGACGAGAACGGATGCTCACTAACAATGTTATATGTGCGTTGTTGGGCCGATCTGAAGCAAAAGCGAACGAACAAAAAACAGAGAAACATTTTTTTTTTTATTATTCAACTTAAAATAATTTTTCATTTTAAAATAAATTCAATTTTGTTTTTTTTAATCGTAAATTTATCGCTTTTTTTCGCGCAATTCGCGCAATTATGCAGGAAAATAATGGGCTTGCAATTTTACCGTAATGTTTGTAAACTACTCGAGCTGACGGTTCGCTCTAAAATTTCGCCCCAATACTTTTCGGAGAGTGTATCGTAATCGGTTTGAGGTGGTATTAACGATGATACGGGTCGTGACGGTCCCGCCGGTGCCAAACCATTTAAATTGCATTCCGAGCTAACACTACAGCATCGCAATTTTTGCTCGGACGTGGTGTCACCGCGCAAACAGCACTAAATTATTTTAAAATACGGAAGAAAATGCAAAAAAAAATTGAGTGCGGAAAAAATGAAAGGATTTTGTGGTTGAAAAAACGATAATTCTGTGTGGAAGAGACAATTCCACGGAGAGATAAGTTCTATTTAAACGAAGGAAAAAAAGAAAAAAAAGGCGATTTAAAAGAAGAAAAATAGAATTTTTCCCGGGATATAAAAAGAAAATTGCTTCATCTTCGAATTTCTCTTCATCGAAACTACAATTTTCTTCATTTTTTCTGAAGAAAAGCACAGTTTCCAATGCAAAAAAGAGACAATTTTCCACCGGGTAAAAAGGCAATTTTAAAGCAACAATTTTAGGGCAAAACGCAAGAGAAACGAAAAAAACGAACGCAGAGGCTTACAATTTATTATTAATAAGATGAGACAAACATACCCTTAATACCAGAAGCTCCTTAGTCAAACGTCTAAAATGTGCATTCAACAGCCAATATAAAAATGGATTCCAAAATGAATTGCTTATGGCAGTCCATGTAACTAAAAATTCGAGAAATGGTGGCAGCTGCACGGAAACACACGTATATTTATATTAAAATTAATCGAACACATTTGAACGAATGAAATGAAGGCAAAAAAGAATATTTCATTTGAAATTCGTGCGGAACCAATTTCATTGAAGATGATATAATTCCGTCTGTGACCATAATTCAACTATTTAATACAGAGAAAATGGAAAGCCAAATCTATTTTTTTGCTGCTGCTGTTGCTTCATACCTTGGATCCAGTGCATGCGGCAACCACTTCTTGAATCGACCAAGGTGTAACCATCACAATAAATCCTAATGACATTGCAGCCATGGTACGTGATACTGAGCCACTTATTCGTCTTTCCTGTAGATCCACATTCTAAATGGTGTAAAATATGGAAAAAGAAATAGCAAATTGTCGATTCATGCAAGTTAATTGACACTCAAGAGTAGTAACAGCAGTAACAGCACCACCAAAGACATCAATATGCCGCAACACACATATACACATTTTTATGGGCCAATTTCATTTTACAACTCAGCTAAAATACATGGAGCGTGTATTTTTTTTCTTCTACTTTAAACTGTCATTCACTTCATAAATATTATGCTGGCTCATGCTTCTGAGTTGCGACCAATCAGATTATTTATGGTTAAATTAGCTTTCATTCAACAAAAACAGCTTGTTTCGTTCTAATTAAACTCAATATGAAGAAGCGAAAAAGACAATATGGTGAGCCTTTTTTTCGTCATTTGAATTGCTTTAAATATTCAAATAAATAACTTTGAAATGTGTTTATCTAAGGCTAATGCTCGGCAATATTTTCCGCGTTTGAAAATGAGCGCGCACGAAGAATTGTGCAGAATGTGCAAATTACTGTGCTTAAATCGACATAGTTTACCAGGCGGTTTTTATTGGGAAAATATCAATTGTGCGCTTGATTAAATTCGGAATACTTAAAAACAAATTAGGAACTTGCACATTGCGCTTGATTTGCAACGTGCTTTTTGCTCCATTTTCGACAAGGATACTAGAAGTCAGAGCGAGAGAGAGAGAGAGAGAGAGAGAGAGAGAGAGACTAATGAGTAGAGGTGTGCATTCACAGACAAATTAAATTTTAAATTATTGTTCGGGAATGTTGCCACGCGTACACGGGAGACATGATTTTGTTGCCACCATCAACACTGCCACCGCCGCCTTCGTCGTCGTTGTCGTCGGCGTCGCCGTCGCCACCGACGCCACTGTTCGTAAATAAACAAAATAAATTAGATTCATAAAAGCAATCGTAAGCAACAGCAGTATATATTTTTTTCCAGTCCCTCTATCAGTCGGTGGCGCGAACGCGCGAACTTTTTAACGTTTTAATGAACGCGGAAGCAAAGAGACATGCGGCTGATAGTAATTATATTTAACAAGATATATCCAGGTAGCAAAATGACTACAGAGAGAGAAAGAGAGAAAGCAAAATGACTACACACACTCGATATTGCGTAGCATTGCGTATGGCATCACACTCCCATTACCGAAAATTAGTTAATGAATCGCAATGTCACGTGCTAGAATGAGCATGAATTTATCGCTACCGCACCGTAACATGTTGAAATTGAACGAACGATCGAATTCTTCATTCGTTGAACGCGAGAAATATATCCGAAAATTTAAAAGTCAGCCATATAGAGTCACACAGTCTGTGGTGTGATGACAAAAGCGAATTCGACGATAACAATGCCGTTTATTTTCGAAGAATATGTGCTCAAGCACCTTTTTTTTCTTAATTTCGAAAAGTTTTTCAACACAAGTCAAACAAACCTTTCGTCTAATTTCAAAATAGACTTGATGATATTTCCATGGAAATATTCTAATCAATGCATAGAGCAAGTGAATCGAACAATTTTCAGTACACCACAGAGATATACTTCAAACTTGATGTCATTATTTGAAAATGTCGACTCAACGTATGCAACATTTCAATACGGAATGAGTTTTACCGTGCTGTGACAGCAGTAGGAAAATATATAGGAAGATGTGTTAAAACAGTTTATTCACTTGTTCACCTTTTTCGCATTAAAACTTTGAAATTTTCTATCGATTTTCACGTAATTTATGGTAAATTGTGTACTACGAAAAATGGGATGCAATGGGCGAAAAAAAAAATCTATAGCAAAAAAGGTATATATCGATCTGGTGTGTGATTGAATTGGTATTTGGTATATGTACCTTTTCGGTTGGTGATGGTAATATTGTGTTTCCGGCAACCGCAATGGGCCGTGTAACGGTTTCCGTTTGAGACATAGCAATCGATCGCGTTTGTTGCATCATTGCTGACGGTGTGGCAATCACCAATCGCAATCGGCTTGCATGAAAACTTGAACCATAGCAATACATTAGAATCATTGTGGTGGGAAAATACAGAGAGCATGTGGCCAATATTCGATACGATGGTTTACTGTAGAATGGTTCACATATCAGCAGACCGGTTTCATTGAAGTAATATCCTGAAAAATAAAAATAGACGGACGAACAAAAAAAAAAAATTGGGTCACATTGAAAATTCGTTTGCACCATTTTGCGTTGAAATTCTTCACAGCAATATAATTCCATAGAAATTAAATTGCTGCGAGGAATTTCAACATAAAATGGCGCAAACAAATTGTCAAAGAAATAAAACAGAAAATAAAAACAAAAAACAATGCGAACGAAGCGAATGTAAATGTTTGCAAATGTTGTGAATATGTTTCAAAAATCAACAGTTATTCGGGTAATTTGCATTTCATTTCATTATTTTCATCATTAAAAGAAATCCAATGTTTACCTTTGGGCAATACCAAGAATCCAAAAACCGTCAAGCATAACGTCCATGTTAAGCTTAATAGCGCCACACAGCCCTAGCAAAAAGACACAAAGAGAAAATGGTATGAATAACAATATCACTGCATGTGACACGATGCCAAAAACTTTTGTACATCTCGAAACAGCTATGTTTGACTAGCAAGATAGTAGTAGCTAAAAATAGCACGTAAAACTCGTGAATCCGTGCCCGTGCTCCGATCATCATAGAAAGAACGCAGCTTTTATGCATCGAGTCAAGAAATGTTTATATTACGCCATAAAATAGTCGAATTAATTAGCGACACCTCGCAACGAAGTTAAATAGATTGAAAATATATTTCAAAGGTGTTGTCTCGTTTCATCAAGTGATAAAAGAAGACGGAGAAACTTTTTCGCTCGCATTATGCGACAAATGATAGGTATATAAAGTTACCAGGAAGTTAAATTTAAATCGTATTAAAATTCCGTATCCGCTCATACTCACCTTCTTACTCGAATGCATTTGATATTTTTCCGCGTGCAATGCACACATGTATCTGTCAACGGCCATACATATCAAGATTACCGCACTTTGTTGGCATAGCGCACCGCGTAATAATGCCTATAGCAAACGAAACACAGAACAAAACAATTAATCCCAATTTCCACGGCTAAGTTTGATGAATGAGCTTTGGAGCATAAATTCCAAAAACAAAGAGTTATAATAACAAATCTATATACAGTAAGATTATCGACTTTCATTCATCTGACTATAACGACTATATGTAGAAAATTATTGCGAATTCATTTAAATTAATAACTTTATCAATGCGATTGCGATTGAAGACGAAATCGAATTGAATGCAATCAAATAAGACTGTTATCTATCAAATGATATTAGAGATGTGTGGGGACGGTGGGGGAGATGGGGTTGAAATTCTGTTATGGATTAGAAATTGTATTCAATTGAAAAGGCCATTAAATGATAAAACGATGATCGTAAACAAGGAATATGAGATGAGAGTAGAAACATCGTACAAACACATCAAGACATTTGATCAATGGAAGTACAGGAGAGAGAGAGAGAGAGAGAGAGAGAGAGAGAGAGAAAAAACACCGAGTGTATGGTAAGCCATGAGGTTTTGTGTTTGATCGTAAAAATAAAGAACTTTATTGCACAAGGTACAAAGGCATCTCAGCCATTGAATACCATCACGCCAATTAATTTCGATTTATGCTCGAAAAATATATGTATAACTTTGTGCTATGAACCAACGTGCCTGAAGTAGCACTGAACGAAATACTACTTTCATGAATGGAATACACGCTCTACACCAAGGGGGAAAGCAGTAATCTAGTAGTGCATTCAATACCGATTCAATGCCAATTCAATGCCACTAAATTCAAAACAATGCTATTCACAGTGAATAGCATTAATTTGAATTTAGTGGCATTGAATTGGCATTAAATCGGCATTGAATCAGAATGGAATGCAGTACTACATCGCTGCTTTCCCCCTTGCTCTACACACACACACACACACGATACATTGAAGGATGATGGAAACGTGCGGTTGATTCGTTCAGACTTTGTGAACTTCAGAGCTTATGTGACTGTGAAGAGTTTTCTATTCGACATACTCTTCACGGTTGTATTGAATATCGTTTGTGGTGAATGATATCAATAGTAAGTAGAGTAGCTCCACTATGGCTGTACGCAGAATATACATCTCAAGTGCTGTTGTATGCATGTAATTGTATAGAGCTCGAACGAAAAGAAAATAAATACCATGTGTATGATGGAAATTATACTAAATTTTGCATTCATGTTTTTTTTAAGGAAAAAATGTTGCATCCATGTTACCTCTTTATTTTGAAAAAAAAAAAGTTTCAGTCGAGAAGCACACTACACAAATTTGAATAATGAATAAAGTCGTTTGTAAGCTGAATTGTAAAAATTGAGTAAAAAATGAAAAGAGAAAGAGAAAAAAAAACCGATTACCTGTATTTGACAGAATATCTCACCATATGGCCAACAGTGAAAAAGTGCCGGTAAAATGCCCAATGGTGTGATTAATATCCCGATGGCAAAGTCATTTAATGCTAATGACGTCAACAGGTATCGCGGCTGCACACATTCCACATAATCACCCGTTCCACAACCAAGCCCGTACAATGGAATTGTTGCATTTCATACGGATTGTAGAGAGAAAGGAAAAGAGGGAGAAAGATAGAAAGCGGAACATAAAAATGACATTAACCAAACTATTTGACACAAAAACACTTTGATTTGAATGAAAAAAAGAGGCGTCGTGTAACATGGTTTTTATGCATAATTTGGACGAGAAAACAAAAACAAATTACATTCATTGTAAAGTGATCAGCCATCAAGTGTGAAAATGAAGCCATAAACATGAAAATAATATCGCCTCGTCACATGATGCAAGCGAAAATGCTCTCCTGTTCAGAAAAATCGTTCATTTCACGTAAAAACGACGAAGAAAAGTGCATTTAATAAATGAAATTGGAAGAAAAATGAATTTTGTGGGTCGTTGTTCTTTTTCAAATATTGAGCATTTTCACATTGAGCGCGATGGATTCAATTCGAGCTTTAGGCAGCAGTTAGTCCTTTTTGAAAGGTTGAAAATGGCAAATATCACAAAATTCCTCCGAATCGAGAACATCATTATCATCAAATACGATGTAGTTTTTTTTTTGACTGGTGCGATGCCTTTATTCGTATTTTGCACCGAATTCCAAAAATATTTCGTGTCAATCGATCGATATCGCTTTTTTCAATACATGTTTTTATCTCTAATATGAAACGAGCAAGAAAAAAAACGTTTCACATTGAATGTGAAGCAAAAATGCAATTTTGTCACGGTGTGTTATGTTCAATTATCAATCTATTTTTGCATGAAAATGAAGGCGGCGCCGTTGTGCCATTTTCAAATGTAATTATCGAGTATCTTTTTTATTCGGTGCTTTCAACGCTTGCGAAATACACTATCCACGTATTTGTCGTGGGCCAAAGTGAAGAATAGACACGCAGTTGAAACACAAGTTGGTTGAACATCGATGAATATTTTCATAAAACGCATGTTGTTGACTACGTTTCCGTCTCTCGTGCGGAAGAAAAACACACACACACACACAAAACAATAAAAGACAAAGACAAAACTTTTATTGCCTTGGCGTACCGTAGAGCCCAAAATGCTGTCGAAGATATGGAAATTAGTTTCTTTTACACAGAGGTATGCTGTAGCCACACAACACAAAAGATTAAATCACGAGAAAAAGAAACTTTGTTTTTCCGGCCACACACACACACAACATACGACTATTTTCACGTACCACTTGAACCTAGGGGGAAAGAACTGAGTAAATGAAAATATAAATATTGTAAATGTTCGCATATTGTACCGAGTTTGGATCAATACGCGTCAATGCGTGTCAATGCGCTGAATAACTAGCTGCGAATGCATGCAAATATGGTCAATAAAATGTACGTATTCGCAATTGTCATTCCTGCTCGCCACGAACGAGACGAAGCAACAGAAGAAAACAACAACAATAACACTACGGAACGCAGTGCAAATGCCTGTGAATATTTGTCAATACGTGTCAATGAAGTAAATATACCAATAGTTCCTTCCCCCTAGACGTGAACACGTGTAAGCGAGAGAAAAAAAGGAGAATAAGCACGTTAAATGTTACAAAGTGGATGTGTTCGTGCAGTTAAGACGGTGATGCGGTGTATAACGACACTTTCTTCGCTCATCAACTGGATCATTTTCACTCTTGATGGATGCTTGTTTATGTTGTGGTTGCTGTTGTGCGGTCGCTGAAGAGATATGTCTATTAATATTTCTTCAAACTTTTTTCTTTATCAGTTTTGATGATGAACCGCGCGCGCGAATTCGCTCGCTTGCAAACCAACTTTTGACTTTCTCAATATTTAAACGTGCACAAAATGGTATTTATCGAAAGAAAAAAAAACCTCAGGAAACGGGAGAAAGCGTAAAAGTGATAGAGTGAGTGAATGCAAAAAGCGTATTTCATTTACCTGTGGGTCGATGTACGGTGAGTAACGGCGATGATTTATCACAAAAATTAACATCAAGTTCGCTCCGATAATTCCGATCGTTAGCAAGAATATTATCAAGGCTTGAATTACATCTAATGGACCAATGTAGTAGTAAAGTGGATGCGTGTAACGTTCATGAGTGCAGCTAACATTCTTAATATTTGGTGCCGTGAGATAGGTTCCTGATTTTAGATCCATCGCATACGCATCACCTAAACAGAGAGAGAGAGAGTGAAAAAAAAGACACAGCGGGGGTGGAAAAAGTTAAAAGTTATGTACACAAATTTAGATTGTGAATATTAGAAATTTAAGAGCTTAATGTACCCATAAAGGAAGAAAAAAGGGTGAGAGATTCTAAATGAAATGCAAATAAATTAATATTTGAAGAGGTATAGCATATTTTGAGTGAATGGGAAAATTAGTGTTGATTTATATGTCGAGGAGCAGAAAATCAATTTCTTATGTAAATATCAACGCAGCAAACCGCTAGTTATTCGGTGTTGAAACTAAATTAATAAAACAATTCAGCCAACGGCAGCCGCCAGCTATTGACAATTATTCATTTATCGCAATTTTATTAAGACAACTATACAACACATTGACAAACATTGAAAAATAATTGAATAAGATATTTGTGGGTTAAACGCCCTTATAACTCTATTATGGCATATAATTATATGGTTTGGCACTCATGCAAGTAAAAATGCGACTAAACGCGCGAACCGCACACGCTTTTCCATGGAACGGGAAGTTAAATGATATACAATTTATTTAAATGAGTTATGCGACACAATTAACGAACACAAACCACACCGAATTTCGTTGTTGATGTTGGTTTTTCTTTTTCGTTTCCGAAGTTTTCAACGATTTTAATATTTATCTGACGATTAATGAAAATGGCTGTTTCCCATTAGTCGACTTTGAACATTATCACGGTATCGCATTGTATAATTGGTTGCCACTATCGCGATTGCCTTTGTTTGTTTGTTGAAAATGCCAAGGGTGGGAATGAAACCACGCAAAAATTTATCAGTGGGAAAAAGAGAGAAAGAGATGGGAGAGGGATAGAAAAGGAGGGAGGATGGTAGAGAAGGAGAAAGACGGGAGACAGGGCAGAAGAGCGTTTTGGCGAGAAGAGATGCCAGAGAAAGAGAGAGAGAGAGAGAGAGAGAGAGAGAGAGAGAGAGAGAGAGAGAGCGCTAGTAAGAGAATGCATTGTGGAATGTGGACGTGGTGTTTGTTGCGCGCTCGTTTGCATACACCATAACACTAATTACGAAACTGTATGCTCTTTTATGAGGTGGCGTTGTCATACCTCTCTAACTCATTTTACCAGTTGCGACGTACAATAAATTCGCGTTCTCTTCTGCTGCTGCTCATGTTTATATTTGCATAAATAATTTATAGAGTTTACGTACAGTGCCACAATCATACCAATAACTTTGCTCTCTGGCGCGCTAACACATAGAGAGAACACAACACGCGGCTTATGGTTGTCACGCGCGCGCCCTGTGAAAGCAAGTCGCTTTAAGCGACAATGTGAAACGGTGAATGTGTTATCAGTCTCCCACAAAATATGATTCGGTGGCTTTGAATAAGCTTGATCTTGGCTGCTCTTCTCTGGTTTCAGCCATCGAATTGTGAATTCAGAAGCGGTATCAAAGTGTGAATGGTTCGGCGATTTTGTTGACGAATCAAGGAGACCAATGCGTCTTATAAGCTATATCAATGGGCTGAGCGATGTGGGATTCTGTCAAAATGTTCCCTCACCCACCCACCGGTTATATCGAAAGTTCAAGTGTTTGAAAGCTCTTTTTGTATTCCGGCCACTTGAGAAACAAAGAAGCGCAAGAGAAAAAAAAAACGCGGTTTTATCCCTTTGCATGGTGGAATCAATGCCAAAATCATTTTGATTGAATTTATCGCGAAGCATTTGATTTTCAACGGGTATTTTAGGTGTCCCAAACAATAAAATAAGCGAAAAATCAATAGTCGGCAATAAAAATTGAAGAAGGAACAAAAACAAAACCGAGATCCAAAGTAAAATCGAAAATAAAATGAGGAAAAATCGTTCAATCACTGCATAAATGCACATTGAATCGGGGCCAAATGCGAATAGTCTTCGTCTTCCTCTCTCTACTCTCTCTACTCTCCATCTCGAATCTCAAACTATAACGATTACGAATGAAGACAAATAGTTGTTTGACACAAAAGCGAGCGAACGCACATGCAAATGATGGCCTTACATTGAGATTGACGATTATATGTATCGTTCGATGGCGACTAGGCGAACACATTACATACGTATATCAGAAAAATAACACCATACACGCAAACAAAAGCATGTATCTTGTGGTTATTTTTTTTTTATTCTGCTGCTGTTGCTTTTGTGGTTGTTGTTGTTGTTCACGCATCACAAACATAAAAGTCAATGAACAGAGAGCTCGCCAGGGCCGTAGCCAGAGTGGTGCTTGGTGGTGCGGAGCGTAATTGCGACAAGCAATAGTAACTTTGAATTTTATATTTGATCTTCAATAAACTAAAAATATTTGGTTATCCAAACATTACAAATTGTTGTTATTGTTACAAAACACCTATTCTTTTTCAGCACCGCCAAAAAAATTTTGAGCACCACCAAAGAAAAATTCCTGGCTACGGCACTGGAGCTCGCTGTTTGCTCGTTTCGATTTTTCCAAACCATTGATTTAACATAAGTAGTAACAGAAAATATACAACACATACACATGCACACATTCTGCCCAAGATGCAGAGCGAAACGAGTTTTGAACAAAAGAAAACGAATGGCCAAATCATTATTTCGCATTATTTTGTCACCGCAAGACTAACCAAGGCGAAGAAATATGGAGAAAAAAAAACATTCTGATGGATAAATGACGGAACAACATCAACAGAAAAAAAAAAATGTTTGCAATCGAAAAATTTCTGCAGCGTTTTCAATTCGCACCGATTTTCTTTTTCTTCGGTTTACTGTTCTTGTCTCTTTCGTTCGACTCATAATCATACGCACCAACGGAAGCGAGAAGCCAAAAGGAAGTGAGAAAAAAAGCACACTGTGCTCTTGATCCAACCGCAACAATAAAGTGCAATGGAAAAATGAAATAAAGCGATATCTTGAAGAGTTGTGTTGTTCCATTGCGATTTGCTATTGAGACCCTCCGATCATCTTGCTCTCTCTCTCTCTCTCTCTCTCATATACACAGAAAATTGTCCCGGAGAAAACCACTGCTAACGGCTTAAGCGGGTATCATTGCAAATCGTTTAGATTATGTACGACCATTTTCGATATACATATATATTCTCTTTGGTGTTTTTACGATGTTCGTTGGTGCGACGAATGATGACGACGACAACACTGTTTTTCTTCGTCGGTTTGTTGTTGCTTTTCTTTCACTCCTTTCAGTTATTACTTGTAAACTGTTGAAGCGAGAGTATGTCACAGTGAATCACCACTACCACCACCATCAGCCAAAAACAAGAACACTCATTTTGATATCAGTGAGTGTGACTTTGAAAGCATCTTCTTGGCAAAAAACCATAAATTCACTTCGCGATTGATTTTTTTCTTCCTTCTCTCTCATCGTTCGTTCATTCGGTTTCTGCTTTATTTTATCGTCTTTTTATTTAAAGAAAAAAAAAGTGTGAACATTTTCGTACGATTTATTCTGCTATTTTTTTCTGTGGCATTTTCCAATTTGTTTGCCCATTTTGCGATTGCGTTTGGTACATCTATCTGCCGATACATTCCAACCAGCCGAAATATGTAAACATAAATACACACCATTATGGCCATTCCAATCAAAGCGTTCCCAACAGCGGCGTTCGCAATAGGAGATTCACCAGCAGAAAATGCCAAACATGAATAATGATGCGACACGCGGTGAAAATTCATCCGTGAATTGATTCGATTCATAATTTAGCAACAAATATACGCAGGGGTTACCCATGAGTAAAGGTGATGAGCGCTTTCTTTTACGCATCATATCCTGAACAAACGAAATATTGAGAGAGAGAGAGAGAGAGAGAGAGAGAGAGAGAGAGAGAGAGAGAGTGGTGGAGAGAGAGAGAGTGGTGGAGAGAAAGAGAGAAAGGTAGACAGAAAGGTGGATAGAAAGGAAGATAGCGAAAGTAAAATGAAACGAGGCAAGCAAATAAAACGATTCTTTGCTGACATTTTTTCTTCCTTCTTGTGGTTTTTCTTCGAACGCAACCTTAGGTTATGTGTAAAGCCACTTTCGGTTTGAACAAATAATTTCAAACAATTCAACTCGTTCGCCAATTCCGAAAAAAAGGTGTCGAAACAAACCGAACGAAAATAAAGTGGATTGATTTGTATCCAATATTGTGGCAAACCATTTCGATTGCGTCGAAAACTTGCCGAATGGTGGTAGTTCGGGTTGGAAAATATGTTTGGTTGTTTCAACGTTTTAAAGTTTCAAGACAACAATTGTTGTTGAATTCACCTCACCTCCCAGAGAAAGCGAAAATTCCATTTATTTTCATTCAACAAACAATTTTCTAATTGAAATCAAAATTAAATGAAATGAACTGGATATTTGATTTGTCTATTTGCTTATTGTTTGCTAAACTTCTCGTCGATTCTTCTTTGGAAAAGTGAATAAAAACTTGAGGCAAATATTTTGTTTGATGCCATGATCAGGTACTTAACTTGATTATTATGGTAAAAGTACTGCCGAATGAGAAAAGGTTAAATAAGAAATTATTGCTTTTACACAAAAGCAAAAAAATTTACATAAAATTTGGCGCGAATAATGCTCAGCATTATGTTCAAGTGTATAACAAAGTTTTAAATGCGCGAATATTGATGGTTTTTTTTCCAAGGCTAAACGAAGAAAAAAAAACCAGCCATGGCAAAAACTTGTGAACAAACTTTTACAAGCTTCAATGGAATTCCCTTTACACGAATCCCGACCGCAGACTCATAAGAAAATTATTGATAGAAATGTAGAGCAAAAAACGAACTACGACGACGACGACGATGGTCGTTTGGACAAGAAACAAATAGTCTTGGCAGCAACTTTGCGGTTTTTGCTGTGCACTTTTGTAGTTATTAACATTTCGACATTGCCTTCAGTGACAATGTTCGGCCACAATATTATTTAAAGCTGTTGTGTGTGTGCGTGCATCGTCAATGGCATTTTTCCTCTTCATTCTTTCTCACTCACCTTTGTCC